TTTTAGCTTACCACCACAACCACCCCTTAGCCAAGCCGCACTTCCTAATCCCTACACTGCCTCCTGTTCCCCATCATCAACGACACCAACCCAAATAAATTTTCCTCAGCCCAGCCGCAGTCCCCAACCCCAGCACCCAGCCACAGAGCTCTCCCCCCTCCAAACCCTCCAAATCCTGCAACCCCTCCAAATCCCCGCAAACCAAGTCCCCCCCAACAAATTCAAATTCAACGAAACCGGAGGCCCCAGCAACCCCCTCCCCTCCCTCTCCCCCATCCCCTCCATAACCGGCACTCCCACCCCCCAAACCCCCCAAACCCGGTCCTATTAACCCCCCCACCATCGCCATCGGCGTCGGAACCCTCTCTCTCCTCTTCGGGATATCATACATGATACTTTCTCTTGCTGGTGCACTAACTCTTCTTTTTTCCTGTGCGACGTTTTTTAATATACCTTTTCTTTCTGTAGGTTTGGTGTTTCCTATTCCATTTCCTATTCCTATTCCTATTCCAACTCCGCTTCCTCTGTTAATTTGGGGAATTCTAACGAGAGTATTCGTGCTATCTTCACTTGCATCAATGCCCCCATCTCTATCAATCAAAGATATAGATGCCTGTGTTTCCCGCGATCCCTCATGCGCACCATCTAGATCAAAAGTAACGGTATTTCTAGGTTCACTCTTCGAGTCCATTCTTCGATTTTTAGAAGGATATTGAGAATCTGCAGCTACTTGTTCCGCGGTAGGAATCATTAAATCCCTTACTTCAATCTCATTCTGAATCTGAATCTGTGCCGGAATATCCGTATAAGCTTCAACAATTCCATCCGTACCACCGGTAAAAACACTATTCATTTCCACCTCATTCGCATTTGCATTCGCATTCATCGAACTATTCGTCGCGAAATCCGAAGTCGCAGTTCCATAACTCGTCACTTCTGTTCCGCATACTATCCAATTAGCCAGTATCTTTATCATGCGATACGAGAAGAGCATTGTGAAAACAGATGTAAAAATAATAATAACATACCACCCTCATCACCGGCAGCAACAACATTACCAATACCATGTCTTTTCAATTTCTTCTCCGCTTTCTTCTTAATACTCTCTTCTTTCTTTCTTAAAGACTCTGATTTCCGTTCTTCTTTTTCTCTTTTCTTTTGCTCTCTGACTGCTTCTTTCGTTTGAATCTTGATTGGGCTTCCCGGTTTTGCAGTAGCAGTTTGGACACTAAGAACTTGAGCTATAGCTTCAACTGGCTCACTAATAGTTTGCGAGGAAGAAGCTGCCTTTCGTCTTTCTTTTGCCGATTGTTTCTTCAACCCTTTATTGAAATCCTTAGTCTCTTTCTTGTAAGCTGAGGATTTTGGGCTGGTTCGGACGGATGATTCCTTGGAGGGGAGCAAAGGGGTAAGCTCAGACGCAGTACTTTTAGCAGTATTCTCAGCGGTAGATGATTTGCACTGCTTCTCCTTAACCTGCACATTCGCCTGCTTGGGTAGTTGAATAAACATTGCACCTGTGGGCAATCCCTCAGGTAGTCCTTTATCCAATTTATCCACCTTTTCTTGTACATTCCCCTCAATTCTACCACTTTCTACCTTACCACTCTCCGACTTACATTCATCATGTATTTTCTCGTGCTTGAAACCAGTATGCGAAAGCACCGAGTGTGTAGAAGGAGATTGACAAGGATGTCCTTCATTCCACGGATTGGAGTGCTCAAGCACATTTTTCCCATGGATTGGAAGTGGTAAATTACCGGTGCAAAATAGTGATCGTGGCTGGCTCAAGATTGGAGGTCTGGGAGGACTTGCTGATAACTGAGCTTTACAAGGTTGATCAATTGTTTGGGCTGAGACACATTTGCGTTGGGGACTGTAAGGGTGGGTGGTGGTAGGGTGAGGAGTCGTGGTAGCTGGATGCGGAGTGGTAGAGGCAGAAAGCGGAGGGATTGTTGCTGAGCTAGGGGTAGTAACAGGCCGATGAGTAGGAATAGGACGAGGAGTTTCGCCAAGAAGTTGCTTTGTTTGAGCTAAAGTTTGGGGGCCCTTGGGCTCTGATTTCGATAGAAAGAGCTTAGATCCCTTGAGACTTGTGGCACTCAATTTTGAAGGGTTCGTTTTTAGTAGCATCGGTGTTGGTTTGAGTGCATCTTCTCTGCGTTTTGTTTCCTTGAGTATGTTAGAAATAGAAGCTGCAGACTTTGCTGCTTGTTTTGAATTGCTCAAGTGTTATTGATTAGATAAATGCATAGATTCACAAAGTTAAAGTTGTCATACTACCACACTGTGGATGCTATCATAGTTAAATCACGTTGATATGCAGTAGCATAGGATAAATATTAAATATATGTTTTTGGGGCAAATTCAAACGCCACCTAAGCAAAATTGCTATATCACTAAGCCCTCCACTATGCGGTTATATGTTCAAAACTTTTGGGGCTTATTTCGATCCATCACTTACATCTTTTGACTGACTGTTGGAGTTTGTACCATCCTCGGCCCCCTCTCGGTCGTCTTGAGTGTGATTATGATCTTTAACTCCTCTCACCGCTTTCGCAAGATCAACCGTCTTCTTTTGCTCAGTCAGATCATTGACAATGGTTGCATCTTTCTTTGCAGGACTCTTTGATCTTGATTTGGATCTTGATTTCATATTGGAAGGCTTAACGAAAATCTGTTTTGCCCAGAGGTCTGCGTATTTTCCCTTGGAGTGAAACAACTCATCGTGAGATCCTTGTTCGACTATTTGGCCATCCATGATAACAACATATGGTCGGCATTCATAACCGTTGACAATCGATGACTATTCACAGTTAGTAAAAGGACTATCAAAAGAATGCTTTTCAATTATCTGAATCGAATCAAGGCATTGGTAATGAATGATTCTGTAGATAACTTACGCGACAATAAAGGTTGTTCGACCTTTACACAGTGCTTTGAATCCTTCCTGAATTTTCTGTTCAGTCTCTGTATCAATAGCACTGGTAGCTTCGTCGAGAAGAATGATCGTTGGTTGTTTCAGAATAGCCCTAGCAATAGCAACACGCTGTTTCTCTCCACCAGAGAGTTTCACACCACGATCACCAACTTTAGAATTGTAGCCATCCGCGAATTTCAAAATCTTATCATGAACGGCAGCGGCTTTACATGCCTCATATACTTCATCTTCCGTTGCGTCCAAACGAGCGTATCGAATATTGTTCATGATGGTGTCGTTGAATAGAGTAGGGTCCTGTGGAACAACACCGACATGGCTACGAAGACTGTGGGCAGTATTTTAGCGAGGTTGCCAAGCTTTTACAAATTTGACTCACCTATGCATCGTGATGTCCCGAATATCTTGACCGTCGATTTTGATACTTCCCGATTTGACGTCATAAAAACGATCCATTAGTTTCAACATTGTTGATTTACCACCGCCAGTTTCACCAACAAATGCGATTGTCTTTCCACCCGGAGCAAAGAAACTGACATTCTTCAAGATAGGCTTTCGTTCGTCATAAGAAAAGCATACATCGTTGAACTCAACTTCACATTTACTAATCTCGAGGTCTTTAGCGCCGGGCGTTTCTTTAATCGAAGGCTCCGTCTTGAACAGTTCAAGAAGGCGCTCGGCATCTATCAAGGAACTAGAGATCGTTCTATATGCATTGGCAAGAAATGCCAATGGCCCTGGAATATAGTTAGTTATGCATCCGTATACTTAACAGAATAGAAAAGTTGTACCTTGTAATTGGCTCCAGAACATAAGCAGGGTGGTGAACTTTCCAACTGTTTGACCTTCATATACTACGGAATAGGAGCCCAGGCACAGTACACCGGTCAGTCCGAAGCACATGATGAGACTTTTAGCCATATTTGTAATGTTATAGAACCATTCATAGGCCCATTTGGAGTCGATATGCTCTTTGATGACTATAATACATTAATTATGCGAGTTTTTAAGTCTGATGGAAGTATAATAACTCACCTCCCGAGTATCGTTTGTTCTCGTAGGGCACCATGTTAAACAACTAGTAGTTTGTTAGTGCTTGCGTAAAATGACGCCGGTGCAAATACTGACATTAGCAGTTGTCCAGCTATCCAATGATTCTTGCCCAACTGTCCATTCCTTTCTGTAAAAGGTTATATAATCCCTGCGTTGATTGGCTCTCATGGAAATCAATTTCACGGTTGCGTACATGTAAGATATGAAGGTGACGACTAGGACAAGAAACATGTAAGGTCCGAAGGCACCGAAATAGATAAATGCAATGACTAGATCGATGACCATCGGGATCACCTGGAAGCAGAGCATTTCCATTAGATCAGCGACAGACCTGCCCCCATGGACTACTTGAAACAAATTTGATGATGATTTATTGTCATGGAAATCAGAAGATAAGCTCATAATATGGCTATGCGCAGCTGAACTGAGTGTTTTGTATGCGTACTGCTCCAGGGGGTTCCAGAGCCACGTGCGAATCACATCGAGACACGAGCCACCGTTGATAAACCTTAGGAGCGAGTACAGAAGAACAGGTATCCAAATGTTATGGCTGTGATCTAAACAATGATTAGTGAAGGCCATAAAACCTTGAAACTCAACAGAATTTCTCGTAGTCCGGATTATCGGACACGGCGTAAACCACGAGAGAATTACTTACCGCCTCCAGTATAGGTAATCAAGCTTTGCACCATTATACCAAATTGTATTGGAACAAGGACATTTAAGGCATTGCTTGCCAGGAGAGTCATGGCAACAAGAACAGCTCTGGCCTGAAGCTTTCTGTTGTTCACTGGCCAAATAAATGGAATAAAAATCTAGGTATACTGATTAGTCAAACTATTTCAACAAAACCTTTGCGTGTCGGAAACTCACAGAAAACCCTTTGAGGTAGGTCCACCAGTTACCGTCTTGCTCCAGTCTTTTTGCAACAGCCTCTTTTGACTTGCGCTGCCGTTCCAGATAAGAATCTTCTGAAGCCACACTAGCAGTATCCGAATCATCCTCTGCACTCTGGGAACCTTGATCAGTAGTCTGATCAGTTGTACCATAACCATTTCCATTCAAGGTGGAACTTCCTGAGCTAGACGGAACGGACGGCTTTTTCAGTAGTGATTGGCGTTCCGCGTCAGCACCGTCCTGAGTTTTGTCTGAATTACGGAGATAGAAGTAGATAATAGGTAGAGCAGTAAGATTGAAGATCCTTATAACTTGAACAGTAAGAAATATATAATCAAAAGCTGAGTTAGTCGGTGGGGTGAACACATTTGGGAAAATGATTAGACAGAGTTCCACGAAGAGACCGATGAACCAAGTTCCATAGTATGGATACCATTCCGGAAATTTCGTGTCCGCTAGTGCGATTATCTCAACCATAAAAACTAGAAGCGATGAAATGAGGTAAACCTAAAGGTCAGTAAAAGTAAAAAAAAACTGTAATAAGATTATATGGGGATTTGGAAGAGAGTAAAACCACTCAGTGGGCGAAATAAATCGCACAAAATGGAATGCTAAGCATCCTAAGCTGAAGAGATACTTAATTGTGAAATCTCAATCGGGATATTAAAAATCATACGCCTGAAAGACCGCTTGATTGTCACATCTGAAGTGAGGAATTTGAGAGTACTTTGGAGCCTCTACGTATGACTTTGGTGTGCGATTTATTTCGACTATTTCGTGGGTCCCTAGAAAAAAAGAAGAAATCACTCACAACACGATCTTGTCCAGGATTCCAGCCTTCAACTGACGATTTGATAATAGCAACGATAATTTCGACAGCCTATTGCCACAAACGTGTCAGAAATGCGATTATAGTGCAGGATAGTGTAAGGATTATTATCTAGGGGCAGGGAGAAGCGTACATATGTTCCAGTGAGACCGGCGATTAAGCACAATATCAACCCACGACGGACATATTGGTCCTGATTACGTGATTTCTCCGTCTGCATATAACACACTGTACGGCCGAGCGCGATGAAGAAGTAGAAAAAGACGAGTGTTGGATACGCATATCGAAGGATTTTTAAGGCAAACCAGAGCTATGAGGTTATTAGCAGAGTACTATTTTTCGAAAGCAGTCCCAGTGACCTGGGGTGGCCTCGTTATTCCAAGAACTTTTGAAGATTCATAAATTTCAAGAGGCTTATAATACTGCGGGGAATAGTCAAAAATAAGACTTACGTTTGGAGGGGCAACTGGAGTGAGCATCGTTTCCATGATATTTGAGGGATTTAGGTGCATTGAATAGAGAGAAGGATGCACCGAAAGCTATGAAGATATAGTGACGAATCAGTGACTGAATATCTGTGTATTTCGCGTGTGTGAATATTTACGAAATGCTTTGACGCAAATTTCAAAGTCTTGATTGTAATATGTTGTGGAAGGAAGACTCATGTAGATCTTTTTTTTCTCAAATATGGAAGTAGCGTGCTTTCTACACTAGTGAATATCTTTAGGAGCCCATGGGGTTCTTTAGTTGCTCTTTCTTAGACCCAACCGTTCTTGAATCATTGCAATCAAATCAAACAATTCCGAAGCTTTTCATTGAGAAATATTAAAGAAGTGTGTCATTATAGTGTGATTCACCTCAACTCTTTAACGAAGTTGATGTCCTTTGACATGATGAATCTTCATTACATATATGTGTGTGTGTATGATTCTATTGCTCCAGAGTTGAGTGTGCATCACAACCCTTCAGAATCAACTTTGAGTAAAAGACTTCTTACTCGCGTGTATATTCATCTACTTATATATGAGGCTTAAGCTTTTCAGGAGTAGAGGCAGGTTCGAGTCGAGGAAGTGGAAGCCAGTGGAGTATATGAACGTTTCTTACTCACCTCAACTGTGTCACTTGTAGTGACCATCTCTTTGTGCGACAACGCTCCGATATTATTGTCAGCTGCCTTGACGGCAAAAATTGGCAAATCTCGAATCAAGATTAAGTCTCTTTGCTATATGTTCGTATAACTCCGTTAGAGCTCGTCAACAACTTGTATGAAGTTATATGTCGAGGCTTGGTCAGCCAGGTTTTCGGACTCGGCTCGCTAGGCTGGACTTTGGGGTTTCTTTGCAATATTTGGCTGCTGATTCCTGGTAATCACCCACTTTATAGAATACATTCGATGAAAGACTATGGACCAGATGCAGGGCTGCGGTGCATGTTAAATATTATTGATTCACAGAAAAACGCACGTTCGAAGAACGACTTCCCCAACTTACCGAGATTCATAACGCTCCAACGATAAGTGCGAGACTATTCTGTTTCGGGTTTGGGAGATGGATTTCGTTAGACCCCTAGATTATTTCTTTGGAGCCATGTCTCCACGCCGCGCCTATATGGTAATGCATGCGGTCTCATGGCAAGCGGTAGTAGCGGTCAATGAAGGTGAATATGTTGGGTATTATACTCCCTTTATCGTCTGCTCGCCGACTCGCCGACAATATGTTATTGTACATTATGTACGTGGATTTCTCTTTCCTTGTTTGTGTCTAGCGCTGAGGGAAGCATGTTCAATGTGCATGTAGAAAGTTGTGAAATACACGCCCACTCCTTGGATTGTGCATTGCCACTCATGCATTTTGGTCATGGTACCTGTAGATAGGTATGGGGCAGGACCAATCTAATGATTTCACAAGGTAAGGTACGAAATTGGGGGGCCCGAATTTGGCGAAGAGCGATGTTTACGCATGTGGGATAAGGGATGCAATACCTGAGGACCTACATATTGGGTAATGTGAAAAGTTGGTGAAGCAGAAGTAATTACGGAGTATTGTTGAAGTAATAAGGTTAAGTGGTAAGTTTGGAATTCGAAAGGTAACCAGCCACCTTTTTATCTCTTTATGGTACCCAGTCCGTATTTATTAGCAGTCTGGATGATCGTACTGTATTTATGCTCTTAATTACTACTATATTGTGATATACGAGGTATCCGGGTGACGACCACATACCGTACTTCGTATAGTACACATACTCAAGCATTGGTTCACCAGTTCCATTCCCCATTTTCCCATTTTACCATTCCCCATTTCCCAAATTTCCATCTGCAAATCGTGTGGGACAATTACAGGGTTTCCATTGTTTCCATTGTTCTGTGCGACACCATCCTTCAGTGTGTTAACTTTCAAGTGTGGTGTTTTGTTTAGCCTATCCTTGAATTTCAGCACATGGCCCCGCACCTATCCAATAGCCGGCCGTTTACCGTTAAGCTCATCCGTCGCCATTTGCTAGAAAATTCCCGTCTTCACCTCGCACATCACCACATTGCTTCATTTCTCTCAACACAAACTTCAAAGCTTCAGTTCATCCGCCAGGCCAGCTTGCAGACGTGGCTTTTGTCTAACAATGAACCGGAGTAAGTTCCCCTACGAAGCCAATCAAATGATCTAGTTCGCAGATGTGTATTCGAGGAGTATCATTGTCCATCAATTGGCCCACTCGAACCCGTTCCTCAATCCGCTGAATTCGTATTCGTGGTGTACGAACACCTCCGTCTCCAATAGCGAATAGCTGATAATAAATATACCTACACTGTAATGGAACATGAAGGAGGTAGTGGGAAGTGCCGACACCGTCATCAATGTTTAGCGTCCTGACACAACCTTGAAGTCGGCAGGCAGCTGCAGTCCTTGGAGCAAGCTATGATTCTACAGGGACAAATCATATCACACAACAATCGGTACCGACATCTATAAACTCGCATAAAACCTGCGAAGGGTACACAACCAGATGACTCGTTGGTGTTACGGTTTCACATGCTCCTCACTCTTTGGACGATGATATATCTACCATCTCTGCCAGCTCACTTAACTTGATATGCTTCATAGAGTGCCCCGTCTTGACCAACCCAAACAAGTGCAAAGTCCATTCGGCTGGTTAATATCGTTACTCTAAGTTATATATTCTCGCGGTACATTTTGTTGATTTCGTCTAGAGTTGGATATGCCAAGTGACAATATTTACTATGTCGTACATTATCGTCCTCGGTGTGGCTCTCGAATGCAGGTTTCTTACAAGGGCCAGTCCCTTGATCCAGCCAACAGGTCAACAGCACCAGGCCACTGGAATAGCCGCCGAGGCTAGTCTCATGCATACTACTAGTCGTCACTAGCCGATTCTCCATGTTCAGCTCATCAATGTCTAGCTTGCCAGCTAGCCAAGTCAATATCCATACATAAACTAGGCATAACCTCATCTGACTGCTCGGCTTTTCGGATCAAAGGCAGTGTCAAAAACCCATATCAATGCATGTCATCAAAATGATCTAAGATCTACCCCTGACATCGATGATTTGCAATGTAAAATAATGATCTTCCACATTCATTCGGTATTTTCTACGATTGGCTCAGTCCTTGACTTGACTCGACTCGGCAATTGCCTTGTTTTTTTCTCGGGCAGACTTTCCCAATGAGTTTGTTCAAATCAATAAATGCATCCAGGTATTTGCGGGTAAAATAGTGTTTATCCCAGCAGTATCTGCATTCTTCACTCTGAAAATGGCACTCTATCACATGGGTATTTGCAAGCATAAAGTGAAAAGAGGTGGATTGAGCGGTAGATCAATGACCACATCTCAGCCATGGGATGACCGACGCTTCTAGAAACTAACTACAGTATGTTTCCTTATCAATAAGTCGCTTTCCCCAAAGAGAATCTGCACCATGCCTTTCCAAGCCTTGCTATCACCAGAAATGCTTCCGAATATCCTAACCTTGCGTCAAAGCCGACCGGCAAAAGCCCACCAGAAAATTGGCATACCGCATTCTATCAATTAAATTCCCCCGCCACTGTTTTCATTGCTTCTGTTGCCACCGAATTCAAACTTGTACCCGAAAGGATATCTAGTCTCTCCGTGGATGAAATTCCAATCTACCAAGTTCTGCGGAAGATTACCAAAACCTTGGGCGGTCGGAGTATTTTGATTTGCTCCGAATCCTGGAACGAACAATTGGTTATGGTGGCCGCGCAGAGGACCCTGGGTGTGAGCCATATTCAAGATGCCGAATTGGTCTACCATTTGACTCGAGTTTGCAGGCGAGGATGGCCTACTCCGGGAGATGGTATTAGGCGGGGCATTGAACCCGATGCTGGTACTTGGCATTGCGAACGAGCTAGTATTGCCACCGTATCTAAGTGTAGGTGTGCCAGGCCTGCTTCCAACTTTCAACGGCTGAAACGAAGTCATCTGACTCGGTGTGAAAGGTCTTGCCCGACCACCAGATGGAAACGTTGATTTACTCTGGGTGGCGCGTGGTGATCCAAATCTAACAGGAGAATCTTTGCTGGAAACTGTACCGGGGCTAGTGACAGATATAGTGCTAATCATTGGCTGGGTTGGGCGATTGTAGTATGCATTGACGTATGATGGTGGTTCTGATTTATGCTCAAAAACCGCCGGCTGACTTTGGGATTTTGCAGGAATGCTTGTAATTTTTGTCAAACTCGATGTGACTTCCTCATCCTTTGTAAGCTGATTCTTCGCATCACTGGGATCCCAGTTTGGATTGACAGTTGGGATGAAATTATCATCATCTTCTTGGGCAAAACTCCTAGCATCGTTGAAATCCTTTCTCGTTTGGGCCGTGATCTGATAAATGATTGCCTGTTCTTCAGCACTTAATATCGGCATAACTGGTTGCTCATCTTTTGAAATGGCTTTCATGGCAGTTGCAACTAATGCTTTCACGTCAAGTTGTTCTCCTGGAAGAAAGTCACAGTGGTCAATATCTGGTGTCTCGGGGTAGGGGATGTGGCCTAGAGGAAACTCCATATGTGTGTCGGGATCGCCACCAATTCGTTGCCAATATGACCAACTGGTCGGCTTTGCCTGATATCCACCAGGATTATGATTGATTGCTGGCGGCAAGCTATCCCATTCAGGAATAGGAGCTTTCTTCCACCCATTAGTAGTACTTGTGTCAACAGTAACCTTCTTACTGCCACCCTTGTATTCACCTCTTTGAAAAAGTCCGTTTGCGTCGGAATTCTCAACAGCAGCCCCCCTGCCTTTGTGACTGACTGTAGATGGTAGTGTATTCGTGTCGTCGATAGCTTCCTCGATACTAATGCCGAACTTGAACGCAGATGCGACGGGGTTCAATTGTGGCCGAGTCCCCGATAGTGCTCCAGTTGACATGTTTCCAAAGACACCGCCTCCTGGTGGCTTTCCGCCGGAATAACGTCTGATGTGTTGATTTTGAGAGCTGCTAGTGTTGAAAATATGACCAACCTCATCACTATCGTATGTATCCTTGCATTTGACAGTACGGAGTTTCAAAATAGGACCACAAGGGCCAGCACCGATACCAAGCTGCATGGCCACGCGGTAGTATCTCCAATAAATTTCCATTGAACCACCGCACTCCCAGGTTACCCATTGAGCTGATGGGGGATTACACGTTTGAGTGGCTTCGATAACCGTGCCTTCGATGGCTGGAAAGCATCTGTCCATAGAACCTCGACCGGAGCGAACATCGATACGTCTGATTAAGAATTTACCTTTGCCGGTGTGGGAAGGTTCGCGTTCTCGCTGATCGATCAATTCTTGTAGAATCTGAATTAATAGCTTGAGATCAAGATCGAATGTCAAATTGATTTGGTGAACGCTGGTTTGTCCACCCGTTTCGTCGTATGCGACTATGGTCACTTGTCTCTCTTGGAGACCACATTTGTTTTGTGCCACTTCGCAATATTTCTCGAGATCGCTAATTGCTTGTTTATATGTAAGTGGGATGATGGAGCCGCTGGCTGTTGGGTTCAAGACGGAAGGGAGGAAATCCCGATTTGCTGCGTTAGAGTTTTGCGTGGTGAGGGAAGGTGCGTGGTAAAGTGGTTCGACCGCCATGGGACTCTCAGCATAGGGTCCAAATCCTTCGCTGGCATTCTGTCGCAAAAGTTGCTGCAAGAGTGCGGGTGTTTCGTCTTTTTCGTAGTGTTCCATGTTAGTGGTAAATGGCAAGTGCTAGCTATTTGTACTGTACGGTAGTGTATTGTATTGTATTGTTTATGCTTGATTTGATAAATAAAAGTGCGGTAAATTAATATTTGAGGGAAACTAAATAAAAGGCTGTCTGGGAAAGAGAGGTAGGTATTCTTTGTACCTGATAATCGCTTTTTGGGTAAACAAGCACTAGCGTTGTTGGAAACTTAATTCATGGAAAGTGAATTTTTTATGTCTAGAGTGGTATGCTTGTTTGAAAGTGTCATTGTGTATGAAGCGAGATGATAGTGAAGTGGCTCTGAAATGAATTTATGGGTGAATGAATGAATAATTCGTACCTAAACTTCCCATGATGATGGAAGAAGGTGTGGTAACTAATGTCATATGTCAGTAGGAACAATCAAAATAATGAACAGCAAGCAAGTATAGACACGACACACCTACAAGACAAGCAAGCAGAATAGTATATAGACCCCTTACTCTCTATATCTCTAGCATTAATTAGCGAATAAGTCGTCGAAATGCTATATGGAAATAGATGGACGTAAGATAACTATTCCTGAACATAGGATGAGCGGGCCTCACCGAGCTAGCGAGAGATGCGCTGATGGAAGTACGAGCATTGGATTTGTAGGTAGGAGATGGATGTGCCATGTATAGCTGGTATTGCTAAGATTACCTTTCTTTGACTGGATGAAAGAATGGGGTATGTTAGTAGGTTGGTGAGAATCAGATATTTTTAAGTGGTGAGTGGGATTTTTATTGTTTGACGGAGGATAGCTTGATGTTCGTTTAAAGTAGGAGTTTACTTCAACTTCATATGATCTGAATATACTATCTCGATGGCGTGGAATCAGGATTTTTACATTTTGTAATCTTAAAACTCGTATTGGGGAATTAAAATTGTAGATGAGTTTGAGAATGAGTATAAGAATGAGAAAGGAGAGGAATATTTGTGGTTGAATGGATTTGGAATATTTAATCGTTGGTTGGGTTTGGATGGGGATCAAGGATTTATGATAGAGAGTTCTGGGGTTGGGCTGGTGGGATCATGGGTTGGTTGGTTGGTGAGAAGGAAAGGAAAGGAAAGGAAAATTAGATGGGATTTGGGGAGTGGGGGGGGAGGGTAGGTACTTACTTGAGTAATGAAGGGTGTTGGGATTGTAGTGGAGGAAAAGAAAAAGATGAGAAGAAACGATGAGGTTTGATCAATCGATCATGAATGAATGAATAGATTAATAGGAGGGAATATACTGGATCCTTTTAGCTCGCTTAGTCTGGGAGTTCTGCCTGACTTTTTTTTGGCGTTGGGAGGTGGGATGGTTGCTCGAGGGTCTTGATTTGATGATTTTAGATTTTGTGATTATAGCTCTTGAATTGAGTGAGTTTGGGATTATGTGGTGGGATTTCTGGTTTCTTTTTTTGGAATGTTGGAATTTATGAATGAATCTTTTTTTTTTTTTTGGTTTCGTGATGTGTGTTGTGATGATGATTTGGAGTTGGAGTTTAATTATTTGCTTTGTTTTCGATGTCATCTTATGTCTAAGAGGGTTCTGGATGTGGGAGATGTGAGATGGGTGATGAGACATCATGCGGGGTTGTTCTGTATACTGGTTTCTATCTTGTGGAAAGGTCTCAGGTGTTCTTTGATGTTGAGTTTGGGTTTTTGATTCACCAGAGACATTTATGGATCATATTTGTGGCCTCTTTCTAAGTTGTTCCACCTGAATTCTATCACCCAGTTTATCCAGTAGTCCTGCAATCTAAAGTCTGGACGGCAGTCTAGATAACTAGTTTGTAATATTATTGGATTAGATGGGCTATTAAGGGATTTTCAATATAAAAAGTTCAGATTTAAGTTTGACTATTCAATTCAAAACATCTAATATATTCTATAGTCCGGACTATTGGTTACACTGCTATCATCATATTTTGTATGTCCAATTACTTTTCTTTGTTCAATTTGGTTTTATATATCCGAGGGTTATATACTGGATTATTCCAGATACATATCTTTCCTCTTGATTCTTTACTGAATCTATACTGCAGTTCTTGAAACATGGCTTTCATTTTGACCTTCTGAGCTTCTTGGTTTATATCTGCATCTTTAACGATTGCTCTGATACTGTCTATGACAAACATTTCTTCTGCTTGAATGTTTGAGTAACCTGACTCTTGTTTGTAGTCATTCGTCTGCTACTATCCCATTCGATCTTTCGTTCACCCCTTTTTTGTATCTGGTACTATTTACTTGTCCCCCGTCTGTTCAAATATGAGCCTATGCTAAGTCTTTTTCAAACTCACAAGATTGATTGATTGATTAAATTAACGTCTACACTGAGTCTATGACTATCTAAGACGGCTAGGAGCTTTGTAGGCTTCTAACAATAGTAAATGGAGGGTGGCTGGCCTTATTCGACCGTAGCTAATACAGGTTGGGGAGATTGAAAGCCTCAATCTTCTAATGTTTGAATGGGGGAAGTGAAAACTAATACTAGGGAACCAAGCCCGCTTCAAACTCACAATTTGATACTATGAACATTAAATTTAGTCCGGCAAAAATCATATGCTAAATTCACCAGATGCTTAATTTGTGGGATAAAATTTTGATCAGATATCAATCCATGGAATTATCTACCACAACCTGCTGGTACGAGCCCACTACCTCCGCCCTCACCAACTCAAAACCCTTTACATTTCTTGCGGCCTTCCATCAAATTTCGCTCTACCATAGTTTGATCTCTTGGGGCATCACAATTTTCAGGGATACAGTAGAGAAATATTTCCATATTGAAGTGTCAGCTGCGGAGTATATTTGGGCATGCTAAACGCGATATGAAGGCTGGTTGATCGATATCACACAACGATGTTATCAAGATGTTAAGTTCAAGTTGAAAAAGCTACGAACCTAAAGACCGGATATTCAGATGCAAGTGCCTGTTTGTTCTAATATTTTATTACTTTCTTACCTGCTAGATTGGGGGTCAGCCAGTTATGGCGAGTTTGAACTCGGGAGTCAGAGTTCTGGATGGGCTCTTGGATATTTCTTGATGGAGAGAATTAGGGAGAAAATGGCTTGTAGTCAATGTGTACTTCATTCTTGTGACGAACGTAGTGAGGACGGAAGCTTTTTTTATTTCACAAAGGGGATAATTATGAAGGGGTTGGATTTAAACATTTTCAAGAGCAATTGCAATAATGTAATGTGTATGGCTTCAAATGATCTGGGGTCCTACTATCTGCTTTTGATAGTATATTGATATTGAAGCGAGGATCAGTAGGGCTAGTTATAGAGAATTGATCAGAAGTCTAACTCATTGATTGAGGTTATTTTCTTTAATTAATACTAAATATTATTATTGTTTTTTTTACACTGATGTAATTTTAATTTTTGATCTACAATCTAAACACGTAAAAATAAACAGTACAAGAAAAGAAACTTATTTAGATATAAAATAAGCTCTTTTCATTACTTGAATGTCTTTTTACATTGATGTACTGATGAATTCAAATTATAATCTGTAACTCGGGTTATAATAGATCTTTAATATATCGAGGGAAAAAATCATAAATTTCTACCCAGGAATCAGCTGTGTTCAAGCAACTGTGTTTAACAACATTGATTCACGCTCTATCGAGCGCTCCAAGTACGAAATATGAATAAGCTATCCTGATTCTGCAACTATATATTGTGCATACTTCATAAATAATTATATCAAATATACTTCCATACGGAATCACAATAGCACTGCTCAGTGCGTAGGATTTGGAAGAGATGAATAGTGTTCGGTTGCTTGAGACCAGAAAGAGCATCAGATTGAATTGATTGATTCTCTAACTAAGCAGTTAAGCTGCGAGTATATATTCAAAAAAAAATAAAAAATGAAGGAATAAGGTTAGGTATTCAGCCTTCGGAATTAAAGTGCTTTGAAATCAAAATATTGAAAGCAAACAAACAGTATACCAAAAAGGAAAGAATGAATTAAAAGTTGAGTTTTGTTTGCTCCTTATATGCATATGTACTATATATGCATATGCTGCCAAGATCCCAGGAGGTCAACATAAATTCATTAATTTGATCATTATATGAACGTTTCAGATTGCTAAAACAGCCAATATCAAGTGGTTGAGTTAAATGACTTGAATGTGGTGGTAATTTGAGGTATATAATATCATTTGATTTGCAATATGATTGAAAAGGTATTGATTCGTGGCTTTCATACCCATCCAATACTAGCATTCGATATTTGCCCTTCCTTTGACGAATAGTATGTTTATCGAAATGCTTTAACCATTCTAGATCTGTCTCATTATTCGTCCATCCATTGGAAGTAGGTTTAATAGCCCAATCCGCAGGAAAATCGGTTTCGGTATACCAATTGGAAAGATGAACTTGTTCTTGAACTACTAAAAATGAAGGTATAGTTTCACTCTCTTTATTACCACATATAATTGCCATAGCCCACTCTCGATTGCCTGATTGTATTGCCTTGCTTCTGCCATTTCGTTCAGCACTAGTTACAACCATCCCGGGACATATTATACCCATCATAAAGCCTGTTTCATCGAAATTGTAGAAATCGCCGTCCAAAATGCCGTATTTCGCTCGTATATTCGCAATCAATAGAAACCACTCTTCAATAAACTTAGTGTTGGTACGAGAAGGATACGGAAGACGTAGCACCCACAGATTACGTAGGTCCTGTATGTCTAATTGTATTCTGTCTAAAGAGCTAGCTACATATTGAAAGTAGTAAGTCTTATATAGACTTACTAAAAGAGCTAGTCTCTTTCGCGTTCGCTTAGTTCTTTATTACAGTAGTAATTGAATTGAAGTCATTCACTTCGTTCACACACTTAGGATCTTCGCAAAGAGCTCTTTGAAAGTCATAAACACAACTAAAACACATCTTTAATTCGATTCGATACTTTACGAATCGATACGCCCAGAGCTTCCCAATACACTTCGTACCCCTCGATTCAAGAATATAATTCGCCATATCTTCCACATTCTTAAGTTTAGGTGGAAAACCTCTCGAATCCATATTAAGAATATATTGAACAATCACTTCCTCTTCCAATTCTGTAATATTATGACGATTCGCTCGAGTTTCTGTACGAGGTGGTAAACCATCCATTCTGTGTTGAAGAGTCGTACGAGGGATATTATAGAGCTTAGAAGCTTTTCGAATGCTTAGTTTTTTATCTTTATGAATAGCTTCGATAGCAAGAAAGATTCGGGCTTCTTGATTAGTTGATTCCATAATAATTGATTGATAAATCGCGTGTAGAAGTTGAAGGTGTGAATTGAGGGAAAAGTGGCCCACTCGATGATAAACCACGTTATATGATTAAATACACTAATTTTGTTAGTTTATAAGTCTATTTATACGGTTTTTACTCTAGTTTATATTCTTTTATATCCATCAATTTATATTAATTCTTCATTTTAATAAGAGAGTATAAAGAAAATATAATATAGAAGTGATTCCAAACTTGACAAATAACTCGATTTCTGCATCTGAATATATTATTCGATATACTCGCTCGATTCATCAACCAAAACCAAGCAATACATAGTTGTGGAGCTAGGAGACGAGCGAGGTATAGTGTGAGCTAGAGTCTGGTAATTACATGCCGCAAGGCCACTCCCTTTGAACATTGGATCGCTATTTGTTGACCTCCTGGGATCTTGGCAGCATATGCATATATAGTACATATGCATATAAGGAGCAAACAAAACTCAACTTTTAATTCATTCTTTCCTTTTTGGTATACTGTTTGTTTGCTTTCAATATTTTGATTTCAAAGCACTTTAATTCCGAAGGCCGAATACCCAACCTATTCCTTCATTTTTTGAATATATGCTCGCAGCTTAACTGCTTAGCTAGAGAATCAATCAATTCAATCTGATGCTCTTTCTAGTCTCAAGAAACCCAACAATTTATCAAGGCATATATCAATCATATATCGAAGGTTGAATTCTTTGCAACTTTCAAAGCTGCATATCAAGAATCAATCACAGCTCAGAATATGAAATCAGGATTCCGAGGAACAGGTCTAATACCATTTGACCCTCAAGCTATACTCTCAAAATTAGATATTCGAATTCATACGCCTACTCCCCCCCCCTTTCGATTTAAACCTTTGGATCTCTCAAATTCCTCACAATCCAACTGAAGCTTTTTCTCAATCAACTTTAATGAAATCTCGAATGGCTCGTCATCAATCAAGCTCCCCTACACCTATATTCGAAACTGTACTAGCTTTAGCTAAAGGTACAGAGAGATTGGCATATGAAAACACACTTTTAAATACAGAAAACTGTATATTTCAAAGGGCAAATGAGGCATTAAGCAAATGTCGATATATGAAAAAGACTCAATTACATTAAGGAGGAGTACTTACTGGACAAGAAACTACAGATATATTATCTCAACAAGAGATTGATATTCAGATTCAACACGACGAGCGTCAAAATGGGGGAAATTCTAATAGGGAATCATCTACTAGTCGATGCTGTAGTAAGTGTGGAAAGACTGGTCATAATTCAAGAACTTGTCAAAATAGTATAATAGATCCTAGATTATTAGATTCTTAATAGTTTTAATTGATTGATTTAATGATTGTTGAATGATATGAGTTAGAAAGTCCAAATTGAGGTAAAAGTGGTGCACTCGGTGATATGGTGCACTTGGTGATATGGTGCACTCGGTGATATGGTGCACTCGGTGTTAAACCACGTTATAGATTCCAAAGAATACATCTCAAGATTGGTAGTTCTCTACTAATGCAAATGAATGGATCTCAAATAGCTATAGATTAGAATAGCTACAAAGGGTTTTCGAGCCAGAATCCAAGAAAGTGTCAGGTGATCAGCCCCGACTTTTAATCATAGATAATCATTCAAATCATATTATAGACAATCTAATTGCTTTTTGTATAGGGAGGGATATCGATTTGTTTATACTATTCCCTTATTGTTCTCATTTGCTTCAGCTTCTTGATATTAAAGTATATATGCCAATAAAACAATATGATTCTTTAAAGATCGATCGATATTCTCGGATTGATATAAAGCGAATCCAAAAAGCTGAATGAGTAGAACTATTTCAAAAGATCAGAATAAAAGCAATTAATTCTTTTAATATTAAAACTAATTGAAGAGGAATTGGTTTGGTATCTTTTTCCCCACAAAAAGTACTTGATATATTATCATTTAATTCCTTTTAGTAATCTTCTACTTTATAAATAAGAACTAATAATTAAGGCCTAGACTTTTCTATATTCAGAAGTTCTCCCTTAGATGGGACAGAATTAAAACAAGCAAATCAGATCTTTAATTCAGTTCTAATAAGCAACGATTCTCCTATATTACTAACTCGTTGATATGCTAAATGAATAACTAGGCTTGTAGAATCTCAAAATGCTGAGATAACCCTACTTCAGAAACATCTCGCTGATACTCAGAAGGTAATCGAGACTCGAAAGAAAAGAACTAAAGGCAAAAGGATCAAATTGTAAGATCAATTTGTCTTTAATATTGAGGAAGTATTGAAAATCGTATGTGAGGCAGAGGAGAAACCCAAGAAGAAAAGATCACGAGGACGGCTATGCAAATGTCCAATTGAAGAATTAGAAGAGGATACTGAAGAAGAAGAGCTAGAGAATGGTTCAAGCGATTTAGAGTTGGAATTGGATGAATATGTAGTTCGTAGAACAAGATCACATAGAGAATATTGAATTTTGTGACCCGGTTCCCTATATGACCCGGTTCACCATAAGTTACGTTATAAAATAGTTTATTTATTGTATTTATATTCCTTGAATATCTCTAGGCTTAAAAGTTATATCATATATATATATATATTACTATAAGGAAAAGAATTATTTATTTATTCATTTATATATAATATATATTACCCGCCTCACCCCCTGGACTAGACCCCACACACACAAACAAACCCACAAACAAGCAACCTAAAACTATACCCCCATCCTCCCTACCTAACCCACAACTCATAAAGCGGCCCCCTGGACTCCAACTCCCCTCCCGCTTGGGGACCCTCTCCCTCCCCCTCCCCCACCCTATCCTGCCCATGCATATAATTCCCCCTCGGCAACGACGACGCATAACACGCTGCCATCATTGGCGCACCACTCGACATAGCCGAAGAATTATACCCCGCATTAACCCCCTTATTAACATTCCGATCTATTTTTTTCCCTTCGAAATCCTTCGTTTGACGAGTATATCCTTGTGTTTTTTCCTCTCGTGGAAAAGAAGAAAGAGTGCTGTGAGGAAAGCTAGTGCTAATGGGATACCGATTGCTGCGCCGATTATTGTTGCGGTTGAGGTGATTGTTGCTGAGGAGGAGGGGGGAATAGGGGGAGTAGTTATAGAAGGTGGGATAATGTGGTGGTGGGATTGAGTGAGTTATCGGATGTTGTTGAGGATGTGGATGTAGATGTGGATGTGGATATTGTTGTACTTGCAAGGAATGATGCTGGTCTAGACGCAATAGTGAATGAAGGAAGTGAATTACTTGGTCCCGCGAAGTCGATCCTTGCACTAGGAGGTCCCGGTAGGAAAGTTGATGGTCCTGAACAGCAATCCTCGTCGTATGCGTAACACCATGTTCCATCCGTATCGGCTATCCTGCATGGAATAACTTCCACGATTGAACTATTGCTAGCTGGAAAATGTCGATATTTGTGAAAATATGTCGGTTGAAAAGACGCACTACTTGGGCCCAGGCAATAGTCTGGACATGATGATCTTCCCATGTACTATCCGTGCATGCTCCTCTATAATGATGTCCTGTTGTTTGACTCAGACAATCTCCCCAGTCTGTACAAATATCGTTTTCGAAACAACACTCCCCTTTTGCCGTTGAGGAACAAGCAGCAAAATTTTGAGCAACCGTAAAATCTGGAAAATAACAAGGAGCACGGGTTGAGTATAGTGCAACAGATAAAAGGGAACTGCTGACCAATAAAAACAGAGAAACTCTAGCATGGATATTTAACGAACACATGATTGTAAACAAATTTGCAAACTAAAAAATGTAGAACGAACGAGATGTGGAGAATCTTGAATGGTTCTATTGTGTATTTAAGAAGGAATCCTTAATCACTGACAGTCAGTATGTCCCAAAACACCTGGGGAAATAGGAGTTGCTGTTCCTCCCTCAGCCTTGTGGAACACCTTATTATGGCCTAGAATTGTCCTACGAGAAGAATCCTTCCTAGCACTAGTGGTGATGTTGTACACGGCATCCTTTCCGACAACTGCTCATTGTTGAGCAGGAACAATTTTTAATATCCATGGATCATGAAAATTTGTGATAACACTTTAGGTCCCTGCGAGAGCCCTAATTTTATGCTACCCATGGGTTCGTCAAACACGACATTGTTTCCCCATTTCTTGGCTCCTACCCCTGCCCCTGTTCAGGCCCCCTTTTTCAGCGGCCCCACACCACCAAAAGAAATTTGATGTACTTTTGACTTCTATGGATGCTATCAAAGGCCGCAAAGAGACATTAGCCAATATTGAAATAAAATTAGAAGAGTGATGTTAAGAGCATATCAGACTATCTGGAATTTAAGATTCTCCCAGCGATAGTTTTAGGATAACAAGTTCGCTATTACTAAATAACTGAGAAGAAAGACCAATAGTGTGATAATATATCTGTGTCTGGCTGGTGAAATTCTGATTTGATCCTTATTTCTTGGCACCTGGTTGGTGACGTAATATGAAATCGCACAGGATAAATAATTGAGCAGCCTTTAATGAGGATTTTGGATTCAGACATGATGAAGGTCAGCCAGAACGGTTTTCATTTAATAACTTCTGCAGACCACTAATCCATGGACAAGGTAGTTGGGGCCGTCACTTGCCTCTGATACAACAAGTAAGGCTTATTTGTGGTTATAGATAATACTTCTGACATCTGCTAAGTATTAGGATTGTGTGTTGCATCTTGGAAATTTTCGACACTGGTTGATCGAGTCTTCAGCCTTTTTGGGAGGAGGGCTTTGGATAGGATCGTGCATAGCGGCGCGGGGTTCAATGATCCTAAGATACCACAGCCTCATAACAGAAACAGAAAAACGTTGTCAAGAAGGCTGCCAACTAGATATATTAAGGTGGGAACCTGAACAGTGAGTGTGAGCGCTGGAATATCTACACTAACAGGGAAAGTAGTACACTGTCGTTCATGTTTGGGGGATGAACGAAGCCTGTGTGAGACAGATAAGTAATGATACTTGAACTTCCAATTTCCATCCCAAACTTTCTAGGAAATAAATAGCTTGACAATCTTTGGATTTTATGTTGTCACGTGGGGACTTCATCCTTCAGCATTACTATGAATGACCAAGCTTTAATATTTGAAAAGACATGAGTGACAAAATTGGATGCGACGTAGAATATATAGCAAGCCAATATCCACATCACATCTTCGACTCCTACACAGAGAGGACGACCAGTAGTAGTGTGCACATGAAATCAAGAATATGAGATTTTACCGCAAAGAAGAAGATTGATGAGGAAACATGATTGAATAAGCATAAATCGACATGGCAAACTGTGTGAAAGTCTCCAATATATCAATATGAGATAACAATCATTCATCCGAGTATCTTATACTCAAATGAATCATGATATAAGTATAAAAAAAAGAGTAATGCAATAAAATGATTTCAAAAGATAGCAATAATCTTCCATCGCATTATATTTAAAACCCTCGAAAAAACAACCCCAACCCCAAAAGTCTAAGCACTACATCCGGCTCGATTTCTAAAGCTCCACTCACATCTCCACCAAAGCAGAACAACAAATAGCTCGGATTAAATTCGAATCCCTAGAAAAATGTCTTTCCTTACTCATGTACCGGACGGGACGAAGTCTGAGCGCAATAAATGTAACCGCCGCCAAGGTACAAGGCGGTAGGGACCACATCTTGAGCACTGCTCATTTTCGCGTAGATTTCTTGACTTTCCCGAACGCATTTGCCATCTTGATGTCTCTGCTTAGAGTGATCATATGTATCATATGATTGAGATAGAAAATCGGAAAGTTGGGAATTTTAGGTTGAGGTGCGGGAAAAGTTTGATAAATGTGAGCGCGAAGCGAAACAGATTCGTTGAATTATGTCATGTCGTGACTACGAGCTAGTACTTCATCACGTGGACGGGAGATCTCGAATGTAACTCTGTGGCCTCAAAAAAAAGTTAAAGATAGTTCAATTATGGATCCTTGATCAATAATATAAAGATAGAATACCTAGTATTTTTGTCATCTCGCGCAAGCAGTAAGGTTAAGGTTACATCAGATCAGACCCATATAATAAATCTCCGCTCAACAAGTCCCCAAAGTCGTAGACTTCGTGGACTTCGTAGCCGCCCAGAGGGAAATGAAGTGGAACTTCAAAGCTGAGCTATCGAGCGGAAGAGAGTGGGCGACTAACATGACGCACGTGATCCACTTGGTCCGTTGAAAATCTTCGGATGAATATGCCCGGGGTTCAACGAAACAGTGAACCAATCAATTGATGCATAGTAGAGCAATCGAATACCCAACGAAACATGTCGTTCTCGTCAGCCTTTTAATTTCAAAGGCAGACACGGGAATTCAACGGGTGTACTTTTTGATGTACACTCACTGTACAGTAACAACACTAAATGCTGCGACCCTTATCGTCGACCTCTTTCTATCGACCTTAGCTGAAGTCTAAGCGCTTTGGGGTTTTCCGTGCTCCAGAAACCTTTTTCCAGATGGAGTTCAGGTGATGTATTCGGGACGAAATGGTACCTTAGGTAGGTAGTTAATGTTCGGATTTGGTAATACGAAATGTTCAATTCCATGATGATACTAAATATTTCGGACAGGACCGTCTCGACCTATCTGTCTTGGAAAAGCGAGACGTCTCGGTTCGGGCATGAAGATAGCTAATCTTAGCTACTTAATCTTAGATAGACCGGTTTTCGAGGCCGAAGTTTAAAGGCATGAATGAGTATGAAGATGAAGCTGAAGCTGACATTCAGTCGGGTATCTGGGACTCATGATTCCTGCCATCAAGATTTTCTACCGTTCATCTGATGAAAGTTATATGACGGAATATACCATACCAGACGGCAGACATAAATTATGGATTCAGAGTCCTCGATCCCATCTCTTCCCATCGAACTAAACAGGAAATAATGAGTCAGAAGCATCCAGCATTCTGAAACTGTGAAACGTAGATCATGAAACCAGATAAACAAAAATGATTAACATTTCGGAATCAAACAAGCAACAAGCATCGCATCGAACATTCCAAAAGTCCAAAAATCAACCATATCCAATAATCTCAACGAAATACATAAAAATCCAATCGATTCGTTCAAAACCCATGTATAATTTCAACTCTATACTTCCGTATATATGCGGCGCGTCGGGAGAGAATACAAGGATATCTCCAAAATCATTTCGCTTGTCGGCGTGTGTTTCTTCACCAATAAGCTTCGAGAAGAGAATATTTGATCAACACGACCCTAACACGTAACCGCCAGGTCTCCACTTCTTCAAACCCCATTCTGTGTTCATTCTGCTTATTCATGAATTTTTGATTTCACTTTGAAAGTTATATGGAGTAAGTTGAAAGTTAAAAGTCGCAATCGAATAATAATGCATAATAATAATAACAATAATTAAATATGAGCGCTTGCAAGTCGGCTGTGTAATTGAAATGGTAAAAGCGTCTGTTGGTCGCGGTACTTGACTGGTAACTAACTAGCTGTATACCTACCTAGACAAAATTGAGGAAAATATCTCTCCTTTCATCTCTTGCTCCACAGTTGAATGAATTATCGACTGACCGACTTGACGAAAATTATTCCGCTGTAATGGGTCGTCAATTCGGCCATTTAGGTGTCGCAAAATGTGTAAATTACTTATTAGTAGTTTCATTAAGCAGGCGCTGATGGACAAATGAGGTGATGATTTATTCTTAGGTACTAAGGTTATGTACTCGAGTAGCAATATTGATGTCGGTACTTTGTGGTGTTATCGTTTGTTGTCGTTCATTCCCGTTGTTGTGTACGAGTATGGAGTATTCTGTAATGTTACTGTTACTGTTACCAACTCTTGTGTTACTGCTACTTTTACTACCTATTGTTTAATGTTGACTTTTCTACTTCAGGTGACGCGGGCGCTTGAAGACATTTTCGCGAAGTTGTACGCGGCATATTCATGTACGGTTCCTGAAAGGTAAGGTCTAGTAATTAATTCCCCGAACCGCGTCTTTTGATTTACTTTTCGCCGAGCGCCTCTATTTTGATCTCATTCTTGATACTCGATTTTGATTGGTCTATTCTTATTTTCAAAGTGGATATTTTATCAAATTCCCATGCAAAATACCATCTCCCCGGAATACCCGGATCCACTACCTAAAAAGATTTTAGCATTTTCGGGTGGGAAGTTCTAAAAATGAGTCACTATTGACGTTGCATGCGGTAGTGCATCTAACCCTAATCCCAATCAAGATGATAATTCATCCGGCGCCTGCTGAAGAACGAACCATATGGTCGAATCTTTTAGACCAAGAAACAGTATCATATCCACATTGCACATCTCAGTCTCGTCTAACTACATTTCTCCGCGTTTCGGATTATTTACATGCATTTTCTTTTCCTTGCCCCTGTCTGCAAATCAAGTCGATCCATGGACTGATCTAGGTATTGGATACGACTCTTCTACTCGATTTCCATGAGGATAAGTACTGGTGCTCATCACCTCATATCTCATTTCACTTACTCAGTCTCATCTCATACTCTTTCTTTCGTTCCTCATTAGACATTTCTTCTGTCATCCAAAAAAAGTTTAGAAGAGCTGTGCTCATCAAGTCATCATATCATTTCTTTAATATTCTTCAATTGATCTTGAAGTAGTCAAAAATATCTGGAGCCGGCTCCTTCATCAAAATTTAATCCTAGTGTTTTCGTAATAGACACAGACCATCTACCGCCCACTATCATTCAACCCATATTTCCGCGTAAGTAAAGGATCAAATACTATCCGAGGACACGTGCTACTATGAACTTGACTAACAATTTCATCTATACAGTCCGGTAGCAGATATGTCCTTTGATTATTCTTCATTCTCATTTGAGCCAACTACTCCTCCACAATTCGCATTCGAGGAGACTTTAATTAGTGCTCCATTCAACCTTAATCATTCTAGATCAAGTTCACGAGTGTCGATGTATTCTCGATCCTCATCACCATCTGATTCTATCAGTATCACAAGTACCCAGATGACGACTCCTGCGAGATCACCAATTAGACAACATGGTCCACTTCTCCTACCAAAAATCCGTCCACAAGATCAGGAGATTAGTGCTTCTCCCTCAACTGCCATGAGAGTAACCAAATCATCGAAAAAGAGTGCTGCTGGTCATGCACTCAAACATAATAGGAGTTACACGAATCCCGAGAAAATCGTGTTTAACTCTGATATCTTCCCTTCCAGTACTCGTCCAATGTCTACTCTATGCTCGCCAATGCATGCTGTTCAGTCTATTGAAAGTCAACATAGACGTTCCTCAAGTTCTAGTCTCGATGGTCAAACACTAGGCAAATATGGATTCCCAACATACCGTCAAATGCCAAGCTACATTCAACAATCCCCAAATCTGTCAGTCATGGAATCATACTCACCACAACCACACGAGCGCTATCCTACCCCCGCACGTGAACCATCTCCCCTAGCTCAAAGTATCAACATAGATGATATCACTCCAACCCATCTCGACAATGGTTTAACCACTAACCTCGCCACCTACCTCACCTCCCAAAACCCAGCTCCAGCTCTCGTCCGTCAACTTAATATCCACGTCCGTGACACCAACGCAAAACATTTCTGGTGGGATATCCGACAAATCCGACCCTGGACCTCTTTCAACACTGACACCATCTCCTCGATTCCGGGTTTTCACAGCCTTCTAAACTTAAGTCTCCCATCCAATATTTTCCACCAACCATCTCGCGCCTGTTCCAACCCGGAAAACGAACAAGAACTCCAAAATATCTACACCCAATTTTACGCCACAAAATTAAACCACGCTCTTTCCATTTCCCAAGGAACACGTCATCTAATGATTCGCGCATCATCCGCCATGGCTCAAAAATCCGGTGATCCGTCATACATCTCAAATTACACAGATGATAACTCCAAACTCATCTACGGACGAGGATTAGGACGTGTAGTTGGACTCGTCAAATCATTTGATCGCTGGAATACTGGTATGCGCGTTGAAGGAAACCATCGCAAGGTCGAGTATCTCCGGGGTCTCGCCCATTTACACAAATGTATGCGAGAAAACAACTGTCGCTACGGATTCATCATGACAGAAATCGAACTTGTAGTAGTAAGAAACGGCTCAGAAAGTATCCCCCACTTCGGCTATCTCGAAGTCCAAACCATCCAACTCGCCGCTCACTCTACTCCTCCTTGCACTTCCACTTCTACATTCTCCGAGGTGCCATCTTCATTCCCCCAACACGAAGCAGCAGATTCAAATGTGCATGAAAACCCTCTTAAAATGACAGCTTTACTCGCTCTTTGGTATCTCCATATGTTAGCACGTGATGAGATTCTTCCCGGACAAGTGGGTTGGAAGACGGAGATTGGAGCGCCGGCTGAAGGGACGAGGAGGAAGATTTTGCCGAAGGATGACTGGATTCCTGAACCGCAGTTGGCTGAGAAGAGAGAGGCGAAGAGGGGGAGGGGGTGGGTTTGGCCTGAGGAGAGTGTTGGGAGGAAGGAGTTGGGGAAGAGGGGGGTTAGGTATTAGGCATTGATGGGCCTTTCTTTTGTTTTCCTTTGTTTTTGAAGGGCTGGGTTTGGAAAGGGTGGTGGAGTGTTTTGTATTGGATTGAGGGAAGCACGGAGAAGAGAAATAAAATAGAAAAGTCCGGGTGAGCTATCGCAATATCCTTAGTTATTCAACGCATATATTGGGAGTTGGGTTAGGTTGGAGATATATTTGGAAACGTACTTTGCATCGGATTGGATTGGAGTAACACAAGGAACACAAAGTAAATGATGATAATTTAATGGTTTATGTCGGCGTATCTGGGTTTTGGGAGTTTTGAGAGTTTAAATATTTTTAAATACATCAAAGAATAAATGAAAAATTTTATTAAAAAAATAACACTTTTGAAATGTCAACAAAATTAAATTTATTTTCAAATAAAAGTTTTTATTTAAAAACAGATATCTGTATTCTCATATATAAAGTAATAAAAAAATACAATGATGTGTTACGAGGTTTGTCGTCTAGATCACGTGGAAGTGCTCTAGGCTCTCGAGGTGGTTTATAACTATGTTACGACTAAAACCCGTGTCACATGACTAAACAAGGGGTCACGTGGTCCCACTCGTCCCACCGATTTAAATCGAGGGGAACGGTAGGAAGGCCTCCCACCGATCCCACTGATTTATATCGAGGGGAACGGTGGGACATACGGCACGAAGGTCTATATAATCAAGATGGATTTCCTTTGTATAGAGCTTCGTGCTCAAGATCAATCATTTAGTATACTCTACTATTAGTTACGAATTGCATATCATTGTTGTCATTACTTTAAGTCCCTGCTTGACGCCTAGTTATAAACCACCTTGAGAGCCTAGAGCACTTCCACGTGATCTAGACGGCAAACCTCGTAACACCTAGTTATAAACCACCTCGAGAGCCTAGAGCACTTCCACGTGATCTAGACGAAAAACCTCGTAACACCTAGTTATAAACCACCTCGAGAGCCTAGAGCACTTCCACGTGATCTAGACGAAAAACCTCGTAACATCATGCTTCTATGATCACGTGCCTTGGTCGTGTGATGGTAGTTGTGTAGCCCGTCTGTTACGTGACGGTTGTTACCCACTAGTGGCTCACGTGCACTAGCCCTTTATATAAAGACCTTCTTACTTAGAATCTTCTTAGTTCTTTAGTTTTAGATTCTAAGTGATTGAATTGACTCCGTTTACGACTTTTCCGTCACACCGTCGTAACATGATTGAAAAGTTAATATTTTTATTTTTATTAAAATATTTTAATGTAAATCTATTAAATTATAATTATTCATATTAAAATATATAGAACCTAAGTGAGTTCTCAATTGATTATTTTCTTGAATTAAAATAGTAAGTCAAAGTATATTTTTTATAACGTGGTTTATCACCGAGTGGATCATATCACCGAGTGGATCACTTTCACCTCAACTTACCACTTTAAACTCGTATCATTCAACAACAATTGAATCAATTGATTAAAGCTATTAAGAATCTAATAATCTAGGATCTATTACACTGTTTTGACAAGTTCTTGCATTATGTCCTGTTTTTCCACACTTACTACAGCATCGATTAGAAGATGCTTCCCCATTAGAATTCCCCCCTTTTTGATGCTCGTCGTATTGAATTTGAATATCAACCTCTTGTTGAGATAATATATCTGCAGTCTCTTGTTCAGTAAATACTCTTCCTTGACGCAATTGAGTTTTTTTGTGTGTCGACGTTTGCTTAATACTATATTTGCCTTTCGAAGTGTATGAATCTCTGCATTTAAAAGTGTATTCTCATAAACTAATCTCTCTGTACCTTTAACTAAAGCTAGTATAGTCTCAAATATAGGTGTAGAGGAGCTTGATTGATGACGAGTTATTCGAGATTTTACTAAAGTTGATTGTGAAAGAGCTTCAGTTGGATTGTGAGAGATTTGAGAGATCTATATATCTGGATCGAAAAAAGGAGGGGTAAACGTATGAATTCGAATATCTAGTTTCGAAAGTACAGCTTCAGGATTAAATGGTATTAGACCTGTTCCTCGGAATCCTGATTTCATATTCTGAACTATGATTGATTCTTGATATACAGCTTTGAAAACTGTAAAGAATTCAGCCTTCGATATATAGTTGATATATGCCTTGATAAATTCATCAATTTGACCATTATATAAACATTTCAGATTGCTAAAACAGCCAATATCAAATGGTTGAGTTAAATAATTTGAATGCGGTGGTAATTTGATATATATAATGTCATTCTCCTTGCAATATGATTGAAAAGCTACAGATTCGTGGCTTTCATATTTATCTAATACCAACATTCGATATTTGCTTTTTCTTTGATTCAGAGTATGCTTATTGAAGTGTTTCAATCATTCTAAACCTATCTCATTGTTTGTTCATCTATTGGAAATAGGTTTAATAACCCAATCCGCAGGAAAATCGGTTTCGGTATACCAATTGGAAAGATGAACCTGTCCTTGAATCATCAGAAATAGGGGTATAGTTTCACCCTCCCCATTACCATATATAATCGCTGTAGCCTACTCTCTATTGTCTGATTGTATTATTTTGCTTCTGCTATTTCGTTCAGTACTAGTTACAACCATTTCGGGATATATTATACCCATCATAAAGCCGGTTTCGTCGAAATTGTAGAAATCATAATCGAGAATACTATATTTTGCTTGCATATTCGATACCAATTTAAACCACTCTTCAATAAGCTTGGGATCTTCGCAAAGAGCTCTTTGAAAATCATAAACACGACTAAAATATATCTCTAATATTATATAACGCTTTACGAATCGATGAGCCCAAAGCTTTCCAATTTTCTTCGCATTTCTTGATTCAAGAATATAATTCGCCATATCTTCCACACCTTTAATTTTAGGTGGAAACCCTCTATTATCTATATCAAGTATATATTGAACAATCACCTCCTTTTTTAACTTTGTAAGATTATAACAATTCGCTCGAGTTTCGACACGGGGAGTAAAACCATTCATTCTGTGATTGAGTGTTGTATATTGTGACCAAAAGGGTGTTTATAGACCAGCAATTGTATTTAACTTAGAATCTACAGGTGAAGAGCACCTGTAGATGGGGATAGCTACTCTATATATACACAAATGAATGGCCTAGCCGTAATGGCTTAGGCAAAAAGAAGTCATATTTATCCCTCCAATGATCTTACTTTACCGATAACCATTGATACCTAGTACTTGTCCGGATCTGATCCTCAGGTCACCTAAATCGCATACTAATCTCGAGTAATCGTATCATGTGTGGACATGGTTAATGTACCTGAGGTTTCTTATATAATAAAGGTGGGAGGAAAGCAGGGATTTCCGTCACATATATGGTAAATTATATAGCTTGGCAGCTTTTCGAATACTAAGTTTTTTGTCTTTTTGAATAGCCTCAATAGCTAAAAGTATTCGAGCTTCTTTATTATTCGATTGCATTTCAATTGATTGATAAAACACGTGTTGAAGTGGGAGATCAAGAATTGAGGTGGAAGTGATCCACTCGGTGATAAACCACGTTATTATATATTATAATTATGATTTTTGGTAAATTATCAAAGTTGATGAGTTTTGGTGTGATTTTCGTTATTTTCGGGAAGTGTCTCACGAGTCCGTGCACTCACTGGTGGGCTGGCCGGGTGGGGTGTCCAGGATGAGATGAAATTATTTGTTGAATACTAGGTGGGATGTAAATTTACACCTGCCTTCTGATCTCAATTCAATTAATTCAACCACAGTTAATTCGACTACCATTGATTCGTGATTTATAACAAGAAATCCAAACTATAGAATAGACTAACTAAACAGTGTAAAGGCCATGGATGCAATAAGCCAAACTCATCCATTGGTTTGGATTGATTGCGAGGTATGTTTTATCTTTGATTATTTACCACTTATATGGAAAATTCTCGAGTTCGCAGATATATATTTCACCTAAACTAGTAAAGCTGACGATGGCATATAGATGACAGGACTCGATATTGAAAAGGATGTCATCATCGAAATCTCATGTATAATTACGAATGGAAATTTAGAGATCCTGGATAAGGAAGGTTGGAATGCTGTGATTCATCAGGATAAAGAGACGATGGATAAAATGGTTGGTAGCTTGATTCTTTTAGGCACAATTGGCAAATTTGCACATGTCTTCCTATCTTTGGATAATTCGTTGTCAATCAAGACGTGCATCTATGCTGACAATCATCTCTCAACCACAGGACGAATGGTGTACCAAAACCCATGCCTCCACCGGTCTAACATCCGAAGTTCTCTCCTCTCGCACTACACCCGCCAGTGCTGCAAACTCTCTCCTCTACTACATCAAAAAATACATCCCACAGCCTCAACGTGGAGTCCTGGCGGGAAATAGCGTGCACGCCGATAAAGCATTCCTGAGCAAAGGACCATACAAAAAAGTACTCGAGCACTTACATTACCGAATCTTAGATGTGAGTAGTATCAATGAAGCAGCGAAGCGTTGGTGCAGTCTAGATGTTTTGGTGGAGCAGCCTAGGAAAAAGAAGATACATAGGGGTAGAGATGATATTGAGGAGAGTATTGAGGAGGCGAGATATTGGAAGGAGAGGATTTTCAAAACGGCTAAGTGAAGCAGGTGCTGAGTTTGATGGATGAGATTTCCCATGATGGATTGATGGTTTTGGTAAAGCTTTGGTAGGGCTTTGATAAGGAAGTATTAATGGTCACTTTAGTTGTGAGCTGATGAATAGATGGACGGTGGCACAGAGAGATATGATTATCATTTGTGGAAATCGATACGTCCAACGAAGGGAAAGGTATGGCATAGCTGCATTGCTACCCTAAGAAAGTTGTTGAAGCTATCACTATCGAGAAGATGAGTCTAAGTGTATTTCTTCAATTAGTTCCCGTGAATAGCTTTACCCTGCCGATCATGGCGTAACGCTATTTTCTAGAAGTCATCAACGATTGGTTACTTTGTATAAACTATAGAACAGCTCATAGTCCGAGTAATCCCTAAGTATTTAGCCTTATTCCAAGAAAAATTGATGGTTTAATGTGAGATGATGATTTTCGAATACCTAGTTCTAATTACACCGCCCTCTCTGGCAGGTTGCTTTGCACGGCAGAATGATCCACATAACTTCTTCCCAGGTCAGAGAAGAACCCCTCATGTCCCACTTCAAAAGGTCTCAACGCAATGCCCCACCTTAAACCCCACCCGAAAGCTAATATGAACACCGCTCCTGAGCTTGCTTGTTGGCATTAAAACTAAAGCTTTCTTCTCCTTATTTTCCTTCCTCCTAAACAATATTTTGACTTGTACTTCACATCAATCTGCAATCATGAGTGTCCAAACTGTTACTTTGAAGCCTTTTACTGATCAGAAGCCGGGAACGTATGTACATTTTTGAAGCTTCAGAACCCCACCTCTATTTTACTTGGCCAAGGTTTCCATTTTGCCAACACAGATACAACAAGCAAGGCTTGGATATTGAATCATCAACAAAGCATGGAAATGGATCAAACAGCAGAAATGATAGCTTGCTAATTCCTCCCTTCTTAGTTCTGGTCTCCGTAAAAAGGTCGTTGTTTTCCAACAACCACATTACAGCGAATCTTTCGTCACATCCATCCTCCTTTCCATCCCTGAAGGTGTCAAGGACAGTTTCCTCGTTATTGGTGGCGATGGACGTTACTGGAATCCAGAGGTGGTTCAGTTGATTGCAAAGATTGGTGCTGCGTATGGTGTTAAGAAGTTGTTGATTGGTCAGAATGGTATCTTGAGTACCCCGGCTGCGTCGCACATTATCAGGAAGAGAAAGGCGACCGGAGGTATCTTGTTGACTGCTAGTCATAATGCTGGTGGTATGTAATATTTCTTAACGTTTTAGGAGGATGGGGAGAGCGGGACAGGTGAAGGAAAAGCCCGAGTGAGGTGGAAGATATTGAAGATGACAGTCTGGCTAATAGATTGATTGACAGGTCCAAAGAATGATTTCGGTATTAAATACAACCTCGCAAATGGTGGACCAGCTCCAGAATCAGTCACAAACAAGATTTTTGAAGCATCAAAAACTCTTACCGAGTACAGGATTGCCGATATCCCAGAAGTCGACATCGCTACAATTGGCACAAAAACATATGGTCCATTGGAGGTTGAGATTATCGACTCATGTGCCGACTACACTGAGATGTTGAAGGATATCTTCGATTTCCCTCTCATCAAGAAGTTCTTCCAAACACACACTGACTTCAAGGTTCTATTCGATGCACTTTCGGGTGTTACTGGTCCTTATGGAAAGGCTATCTTCGAGACCGAATTAGGTCTTCCAAGTTCTAGCACCCAAAACTGCATTCCTTCTCCAGATTTCAATGGTGGTCATCCAGATCCTAACTTGACCTATGCACACTCACTTGTTGAGGCTGTTGACAACGGAAAGATTCATTTTGGTGCTGCAAGTGATGGTGATGGAGATCGTAACATGATCTATGGAGCTAATGCATTCGTCTCTCCTGGTGACAGTCTTGCAATCATTGCTCACTACGCACAAACAATCCCATACTTCAAGAAACAAGGTGTTTACGGTCTTGCCCGCAGTATGCCAACATCTGGAGCTGTTGATCTTGTTGCTAAAGCTCAAGGTCTTAACTGCTATGAAGTTCCTACTGGATGGAAATTCTTCTGCGCTTTGTTCGACGCTGATAAACTTTCCATCTGTGGTGAGGAATCTTTCGGTACTGGATCAAACCATATCCGTGAAAAGGATGGTCTTTGGGCTGTCGTCGCTTGGTTGAATATTATCGCCGCTATTGGTGAGAAGGATCCAAGTGTTACACCAAGTATTGCCAAGATTCAACAAGATTTCTGGACTATCTATGGTCGTACCTTCTTCACTAGATATGATTATGAGGATGTTAGCAGTGAGGGTGCTGCAAAGGTTGTTAAGGATTTGAATACCAAGATTGAGGATCCATCATTCATTGGTAGCAAGATTGGTGGTAAGTTTTTTCCCCCCTATGTAACATGACAAAAGAGCTCACAGATTATTTTACAGACCGTACAGTCTCGGATGCCGGTGATTTCTCCTACACTGATCTCGACGGCAGCGTTTCCTCCAACCAAGGTCTTTACGTTAAATTCTCCGACGGATCTAGAATCGTCGTTCGTCTCAGTGGTACTGGTTCATCAGGTGCTACCATCAGGTTGTATATTGAAAAACATACTAGTGACGAGAGTACTTATGGTCAAGATGCTCAAGTCTTCTTGAAGGATAATGTTGATTTTGCGGTTGAACTTTTGAAGTTTAAAGAGTATATCGGTAGAACTGAACCAGACGTTAAGACTTAAGACTTTTGTCGGTTTGGGGAAGGAAAAATGATGGAAAGTATAGTTATCGGATGGAATCCAGATGTGAATAATTAGTTAGCCAGCGTGCGTGCAGATATGATATCAATACAAATTACAAAAGTTGTCATTATGAATATTATGAAGCATATGATACTGTCATTCATTTTACTCGAGTATTTTTGTGGAATAGCGAAAAGACTCATTAAAATTTTTTGGAAGTGATGATTAGATTTGATATCCAAACCCCTAAAGTTCTATTCTTCTTATCCAGCTACTGGCTATATTAGTTCATATTCAAGGTAAAGAGACAAGATGTTAGAATGATTTCCGGTCACTTGTTAAAGTATCATAAGGGTAGTTCTAGTTCTTGAAAATTAATTCTGCTATCAAAGCCCGATATTAAGACCTTACAAGCATAAGGATCGAGATCGCTAGCCGTCTAGATGAATAATTGTAGAGATATTAAGAATTATTATGTATGGCATAAATATCCTCGGCTTATATCTCCAAATATAGAAATTGACTTGGTAATAATTTCTATAGTAGAATATAAGGGGTTAGATTACGTTATTCTTCTTGGTGAGTTTGAGAGGGCGTAGGTTAGAGCATTGATGGATTTGTTTGCTGGGTTTTATGGTTTGGAGTTAGAGTTAGTTAGAGTATAGAGTGCGATTATCTAAAGATCTTGAGGGATTTATTAATATATATTTAAAAATTGGAAATAATTTTATAATGTAAAAGCGAATTTGTATTAGGTGGTAGGATATTACGCTCGTGGTATTGTTGGTGTCAGATTACCACAGGTGCTTGCTTCGTTCCATCTTGTTTATGCATGTAAAAGGTAGCTAGATAGATTCGATTAGAGTTCATGCGAGAATAAGTTCCAAGCAGGTCATTGCCCTTTGTTTTTTATTGAGATAATTGGTCAATCAACTGATTAGATGTTATGTCATTGAATCTAATTCTGTAAAATGCAGCTGGTGCAGAGGGGTATTAGGAATTAGCTGGAAAATGCCATGGCTGTCAATTTGTTGTAATCCCTCCTCGTACAGGGGGCTTGATGATCAGGAGAGATCGGACTTAGAGCGTCTGAATTGGAACATCATGGGGTAAATTTCTGGTCTTTGTCCATTGGCTATAATCTGTGACAAAAATGATTATATTTGGCTCATCTAAAGGAAGAGTGTAAATGGTTAAAATTTGAAAAAGAGATGATAGGCCTCGTCGCTATGAGATGAATGACGGTCTAGACTATATCACGTGGATCACTTTGGCTTACAGCTAATAGCCTTGGTGTATTTTAATATGGGACTATTCCTAGAAGCTAAGTCTTACGCCTCTCGACGTTATAATTCTGGCACTACACCAGCAGCTGAGAGTAATAGGAGGTATCAAGCTCCAGACCCTCGCCATTCTCACTCTCATCTAAAGAAAAGCTCTGTCTCCGCCCATTTTAAGAAATGATTGGGATGATCTAACTAAAAATCATAATCAAGCTGCTTCAATCTGGGTCTCATAACCATCGCGATCGCATTTTCTTTATCCTGGTTCCAATTTTTTCCCTACTAGATTGTATATTTACTTCCTCTGGTTCTCGGAATACACACACTGCGTGAAGTCCAGCATAACAACACTATACTCATCCAGTGCAAACCTGCCAGTAATCATCATGTTTGAAGGTCTTATGTTTTTATTCAGAATAGAGTAGTCACCAGAAGCCGAGCAATTCGAGCAGCCTCGTGAAAAATATCTCCCTGATCTGGTGGTTTTCTCTTGGGGTTTTGGTTAGCATTTATGATAATGTATGCCCATTGGTTTGCGCACAGGAACTTTCCTTTGATATATACATTAGATTCAAAACTTTTGAAGAACATTGAAGATAAAAGATTGATAACGTGATGTTACTGTTTCAAACTTGCTGTTGCCGTCTCGCTGTTCTACAAATATTTGTGGATTTTTTTGATATCAGATTCTGTTGTGCGAGCTGTCAAGGAACAGAAACATACTTCGTGCCAATGTAACGCCTTTGAAAGGAATATTTTGCACAAAAAATGAATCCAGTTGAAAAGTTTTCGCACTTTCATATCATCCCCTTGGATACAAGTATCTTGACTTCTCACGAGAACGTATGACGGAAAAGCTTTTGTGCGTCTCCTATCGGTCAACTATCGCAAGCACTTATTCTGTAAGCTACCCATAAACCTTTTAGGATCGAGGAAACAGCCCTTCATATATATCCTATCCGCAAAATGCGGTATGTTTTGTATGTTTTACTCACACTGTAATTCAAAGGGGTGAAGTACGCTTTGGATTGATTTAAAGTGCAAATTCTCTTTTCCAAGACGCAGTCACTTCCCAGCTCAATTATAGATACTTTTTTGGAGCAGTGAGCAGCATCAACATTGTGCTTAGCGAACTCTTGGATTGAAAAAGGTACTGCTAGAAAGAGATTCCGTGCCGCTATGGCAGTGATGTTCCGTTCCCATATTAAACACTTCACTCTTCCAAACTAGAAGCTTCATCCGAAGAATTCTCTACTCTCTCTCCGTCCTCCAAGTCTGAATATTCAACTTCTTCTGGGTCAAGTTCCCAATCGTAGTTTATCTTGCCGCTCTTTCCATTTCCGGTCCCCCTCCGATTTCTTCTCTGCAGTCTCTTCCTCATTCCCCCTGGATAGTCTTTCTGAATCTTTCTTTGAGACTTCTCGAATTCATGGTTATCGTCCTCCATTTCTGATAAGCAGAGTTGTACATCATCGTCCTCAGTCAAGCCAAGCTTTTTCGCCAGTTTACTAGCAACTTGTACCGACGAATTGGAAGAACGTTTCAGAATAGGAACTGTGTCGAAAAATACATGTTTCAAAGGTTTTTGGTAATCAGGGACTAATTCATCATTCCCACAGTCACTAACAAGACCACGTATTCCATATACAAAGTCTCTAGGCTCTGTGGCAATGAAATCATCCAGGCAAATATTCAAGCACTGTCCCAGGCGGAAGAGTTGTCCTCTTTGTGCCCAATACCTAAACATAGTGATATGCCGGACTGCCAGGGTTTCTTTCACGGCATCATTCCAAGCATCTCCACGGCCCCTCGATCTTGCCAACTTCTTGAAGGATTCATCGAAGGTATTACCTAAGATACTTTTGCCACCACAGTGGACTATATACTCCCTGCCAAGACATATTTCCTGCATTATCCAGACACGGCACCAATATGGGCGTTGGCAAAAGGCAAGGAGTGCTGCACGCCAAGCTATACGACTTTTGTTTGTAGATTCCACGATTTGTCTTTCTCCAATACGTGTAGTTTCCATTATCTGTAAAATCTCGATTGCAAGGTCACTGTCATCTTTTGCGGGGCCTAGCCAAAGAATGACTCCTTGTGCTTTTCTGTAAATTTTCTGCATTATATGTACCTGGCTGTTTCTCTCGAGGTGATCCGTCTGATCGATACACAGAGCATCTATCCATAGATACCGATCTTTATCCACAAACCTCAACTGTATCAATGCATCGTACAAATTCTTTCGAATCCGGAATTTGCAGCCATTGACAAGTATGAAAGGATCATCGCTGCTAACTTCTTTCCACTCATATGACAACGCTTCGTATTTTACTGTGACTGAGGGAGCTCTCAAGTCGATGTGGAGGAGCGAGCTTTCAATGGGGATGTCGCCACAACCCCCACTTAAAACTAAAATTCGTATTGCTTTCAATTGATCTGGATTTAAAGGCTGGTATTCAAATGTGGATATTGGCTCCTTTCTTGTCATAACGAACTCCTATGTGGGCCCAATGAAGCAAGCTGCTTGGTTCTGTGTTAATTGTCAGTAGATATAATCTGTGGAGTATGATGTTTATTTCCTTATCGCCGACATAGGCATGGATGCACATGCAGACACTGTCAACCAATCGGTTATTTCAGGGCTCTTATCGAGCGAACATGAGCGAGATATTATAAATTATCCCAGTATTCTGAATATCATCAGTATCATCGCGTTTGGATTATGCATAACTGTAAGTGGTATTGAACTTCAACATACCGCCGTTCGTAGTATATCCTTCATATAAAGCACCAATACGCTACCGTGAACTTATTACAACACTGGAAACTCTATCCAGTAATTGATAGTTAAATAAGATGCACGTATCTTCTTCGAGATAGCATCGAAAAGGGAGGGAGGTCGTTCGAATGAGTGAGATGAGGAGGCGTGCCCCAATGTCCGAAATTCTGTCGATGTGAAGGTCGGATGGTCAAGATATTGTAAATTTCGAGTTGCTCCTAAAACTTGTGAGCCGTTTCTACTTCAATTCAAATACCTCCTGCTAACTCTTTTGCTCGTACGGCAAGCTCATTCGAGGATGCTGCGATAAAAGGCATTTGCTCATGATCTTTATTTCCGCACAAATGGATATACTAGCCATACGAATCATTTACTGCTGAGCACGCATTTTCGCTCTAGTGAAGTAACTTACTGCAGATAATGGATATTAAAATGGCTTGCCCAAGCTTTCAAGAGAGTAAATTTTCGACTCTGCGCTCTAGTGCACCAAAACCAAAATAAAATCACGTTCATCCCCATCTCCATCCCCAGAGCCGAATATCAAATTAACTTCTTAAACCTCCGCAGATATTGGTTTCCAGAAATCAGAAGTCCGTTATCGGGATAAATGGATGACCGCTTTATCTTCCATTCGGCAAACTTGGTTTGACCCTAAATCCAATCCCCATCCACACTCTTTTCCGTGTCCCATAACCGATTAACAGAAAATATCTGCGAAGACGACTTTGCAATCTTCCCACCTCCCGAGAGATTCGTATGGGATATGTACAATTGATTGGATTTGAGGCTGGATTGAGAATTCGAAACATGTAAAACAAAGAGAAGGTGGTGTTCGTTGTTGGTGAGAAAGGGTTTCGATATTTTGGGAAGAAAGTTGAAGTCCGATGGGTCTGCAGCATTATTTAGGTACAAAGCTCTTTCCTCTGTGTATTACCATTGTAAAGTCTTCCTTTGTTCAATACTTGCTTGTGTTCGTTCTGCATAGTACTCGATTCGGTCTTTCGATGGCTTTTTCTTCAAAATTTGCGATGCTTATCGGTTTTATTGGGCTTTTGTTCGCCAGATAATGCTAAAAGTTCTATAATATCTGTCTCTTTCCTTCCTTAGAATCCTGCCCATGCGTATGAATATGTATCTTCTTATGCCGTGTACTGTACGAGTTCTCGTCGTGGCTTCAGACAAGGTATGATTTAGGTATCGGACTCAGTGTCGCATATTTCTTCGCTTCCTTTTCTCCTCGTTGATCTGCATTAATGACACTTTGTTAGCACTGTTTGATGGGCTTATTCAAATCCTAAGGAATCATATATGAAGTAATCTGGTCTCATGTAATAATACCTTCGTTGCTACATGGTATTCAATGTCCAACTTGAGTTGTAGTCCTGCATTTCATCTAGGCGGACCCTCAGCCGAAGCCGAAGCACTTTTAAGACCATTGTTCACTTGTATTATACATTGTTCATCGTTCTAATATGTTCAATTTGCTTCGTCTATTGGACCGAGTCTTGAGATAGTGGTACGTTAGGAAGGTATTTGGCTTAGATTCGTCGTGCATTGGGCATTAGGTTCCGAATATATAGGCGTAGTATTAATATGAATAGCAGTGCTATAGACGAATTTCTTGACTCGAATTACTGAAATCTTCTTCGTTAAATCCGATCTCCACGTTTAGATGTTAGTTACCTCAGGTCATATTTCGATATTTGCTGTGTTCTTTGTGCTGTGTTCTGTGCTCGTACTTTGGATCGGATCGAATAATCTCGGTGCTCGAAAGGCTCTCGGAGACTGTTTATGGCTTTCCTTTTTCGCTGATTATCCTAGCTTCGAGGTTTCAAAGAACTTTCCTATATGAATTAAATCCTTAAATCGACATCGATGGTCATCAGCATAGAATTTCAAGGAAGTGCTTCAAGTATAGAAGGACTGCAAGTAGATTGATACTGTATGTAATTTTTTCTTATATAACTGAAGGGCTAAATCTAGTACTTTCGCGGAAGTGAGGAAGCTACGAATGTACTTTTTCTCGCCACCCTTATGCACCTGCCATAGAACCCTTGACCCATGCCACATTCCACGGTGGTAAAATACCATCTATTACAACATCACATCTGAGCAGTAACTCACAGTAATCTTTTTCTCTTCTATTCCTATGGTAACGAGTCTACATGTGATGTAACATCTACATCTGGGTCCCCACTTCATATTCGTCAGTTTGGACAGGCGTGACATCTAAATATTCTTCAAATCACATTTGCAGTGCATGCACAATTCAAACTGGTTTTTAGAGTATCAAATAGCATGATTGTTAAAGCATCATCTGATTATAAGCAGCCAATACCTTTCCATGGAGTATTTTCTTTTGAATTGACTAGTCATGCGACCATTTAGTTCATTCTCCCCAGCCAATGCTGTCGCTTGAAGTATGATTTTACATGATGTAGGAGGTATTTAGTCAGTGACCTAATGGAAATGTATTCCGAAGATTGGATCACGCGATGTGCATTAACTTAAAATGGACGTTTTTGTCCTGTTTGCTCCAAATCGACAAATGGCGCGAAAAAAGTTAACAGAATTTTCAAAGGTATAAAAGAGGTCCAAATTTCCACTTCAATTTTCTTTTCTTCTGCAGAATTGGAGTTTGCTCGGGGTTAAGTTTACTTGATATGGGGTGGTGGCTCGAGCTTTCCTCCAGTGTTCACTGTAAGTTAATCTTTTCTTATTTTTTCGGCTAATCTTGAATACAGAATACGATACAATCGACGAGATGGAAGGGAGGAAGCCAGTTTGTATAGCCAGCAGATAGTCTTATCTGTGCGGGTCAAATGCAAGCTGGTGGTGGAATTGGGGTAAGGCAGGTGTAGTTGGCCTCAGATCGTACAGGCAGTAGACAGGCTTGTCTATGCGTGTCAAATGCGATCTGGGTGGGAGGGCATTGAATATCTGGCTTTATGCTGGAGTTCGAGGCCTTTCGTACATAGTTGATAAACTAGACAGTTACATATTCGGCCTTGTGCTGGTATGTGACTCTAGGATGCAAGTCTAGTGTTTAGTGTATTTAGTAATCAAAATAGTTAAACTAGTATGTGCTCATTTTTCATGGGACTTAATCCA